ATGGCATTTCAGTACAATGTAAATTTTGGAGCCGGTAAATAGTTTTTTACACTTTTTCATAGGGAGAAGCTTTAACGAACGGAGTCAAATGCCTTTTTGAAATCGACAAATCATGAGTAAATGCGTTTGTTTTCGGAGAGTATACCAGTTTTTATGCTTAGAAGGGTATAATAAGTAAGTCGTCGTTTGTGCCAAATCGATTTCTAAATCCGGCATGATTAGGGGAGACACGTTTGTGTTCGTCCATAAAAGTTGTTAGACGTGTGTTTAGTATTGACATACTATTAGATAATTTGCTACAACTTGTAGCTGATATTCCCCTTTAGTTACCGGGGTCATCTTTTGTCCCGCCTTATAATAGCCTGGGTACCGTCCGGATTTAGCTCCGCTACGCTAGAGAAACATCTAGCGAAGCGGAGCAAAATCCGGATTGAACCAAGACTAGATGTATAATAGAAAATGTAGATGTTTCCATCATACATCAGTGTCATTATGTTCCTAATAATAACGTTAGTTGTATATCTTGTATATGAAGAAACAAGTCAGTTAGTAAACCAAGATTATTGTTCCGAACTACTAAGGAGTGTTCCAACAGGAAAGGAAGCCCTCAACAAATTCAACAAAACATTGAATTTTCACACAACACAAACGAATGACTTCTTACTGGTTTTACGTTACTAGTATTAGTAACCTTAGATGTAAGATCGTGCCAAACTTGGTTGTATTAGTAACGTCAACAACTTCAACAACGCAAAAGCAACAGGGTAGAACAAAAATAAATAAAGTATAGGTCTGATTCCCTTTTCCCTCCAAAACCCAACCAATAGTCTCGTGTGACAGGCCTGGTCTCTCAGCGGTACCTGAAAAAAAAAACGTAACGCCGACATGAATCCTACGTATCTGTAAAATGTGAGTCAACGCAATTCCGCCGTGTTTGGAGAAATTCGGCACGTATGCAAAGTTGATTGTAAATAAAGATTTGATTTATTTGTCTTCTTCATGTATCATGAAACGCAGTGCATGGTCTGTCTGGTAAATATACACCATATTGTTCGATTAGCAATATTTTGGAGAGAGAAAGGATTTAAATACAAATCCCAGGATACGGATGTCTCTATGGAATATACAGAACGTCAGACACTGCGCCTCCGCCGCCGCAAATATGTCACAGTGGAAGCAGGGAGTCGAGCTCCTTGGCGAAAGCCTGCAAAATTCGTCAAAATGCACACAAACATGCCTATCATCGAAACTCTGGTCAGATTTAAACTCTGACCCGGAAAGACACGATGCGAAAGGTAGAACTTTCAACTCTATTTTTCCCGTCTACAACAAAAACGTTGCAGGATTCTGTTTGAACATTTTTTTTTAGATTATGTTCATATTGATAGTACAAATACATAAAAACCCAAACTAATGAGGTTGTGTCACAGTCTTATTACCTTAATCAAAAATACTTGCCATGTATCACGTTAAATCACTTACAGTAACACAATTTCATGTTAGCGTTTTCGTTTCCAAGTGAATATTGCGCAAACTGTCGGGAGGCATTGTGGTGGCATATCACAGTTTTCACCCTATGAGTACTTCTATAGTTAAGTACCCCAAGAAGGTGACTCACTTCGACGCGGTGAAAATTATAGTAAGGGTGGACTAGAGAAACACGGCTAACTAATATGTTAAAATGCATCTAAATAAATCTAAATAATCTACAAAATAACTGAAAACAAAAAAAGTTATGTTTTTTTAACCGTGACGACCTTTTTTGGCCACCTGCAGTTGCGTAATGCAGCGCATTTATACACAAACAGGGAAATCTTCACAATCCAAATCATACGGTCACAATCCAAATCATACGGTGTACAAGCCGATACATTTCTATACCCCAGCGCAGTTTACTCCTGGCTACCTCTCACACAAGTCGCTCTAGGTGTAGCCAGGCTAGGATTCAAGAGTTTTGTCCGCACTACTTTCTATAACCGCATCACTGGCTCCGGGGGTCGCCTAGCCTATGTAACCCAAGCTCCGGGGGGCTCCCTACATAGTCCGCCACCCAAGAGCTTGTGCGCCACTCTCTCTAAGGCCGGGGAGCCGTTAGCGAAAGTTGTAACACCAATCACGGGGTAGGAATTTAGTCGAGCCCCCGTTACCATGGAAATTCGCTAGTTAGCGATGTCACTGCTGGCGCCGCGGCCCAGACGGTGGGCGGAGCGCGGGCGGGGTGACAAATGTTATCTTGTTGGTTGTTTATTTCGAGGAAAAATGGCGGCTTCTTCCACAGTCGAAGGCGAGTTTCGGCCCCTCCTTGAGTCTGTTTGCAAGGATTTTGGTCGGCCTTGGCCTCTGAAGCCACTTCAGGAGAAGGCGGTGACGTACTTTGTCCAGAGGAGAAAGGACATTTTTGCCTGCTTGCCCACTGGCTACGGCAAGACGGAACTTTACACGCTGGTCCCTCTTGTCATGGAAAGATTGCTGGGGAAACACTGTGTGATGCTGGTAGTGTCTCCGTTGCTGTCGCTAATGCAGGATCAAGTACAACGCCTGCAGCAGGGAGGATCAAAGCTGCCTATGTCGGCGAGACGCAGGAAGATGCTGATATCAAGAGAGGAGTAATTGAGGGGGAAATATAGCCTGGTTTTCGTATCGCCAGGAGGCGATTCTGAACTCTAAAAGTTGGAGAGGGATGTTGACAAACAAGACTTACCGCGAACATCTTGTTGGTGTTGCCGTCGACGAGGCTCACTGCATAACGTCTTGGTATGGTACTTTGCATTTCAAGGCATGACTAAAATTCTGCAATAGCTTTTTTAAATATAGTTTCGTGGGGCTGTGTAAGAAAATGACAATGCATGTGCATGTATACTATATAATAAATGCGTGTCCACGCGAAAGGGGGAGGGGGCTGGTATAATCTTGTCTATGCGGGAGTGCTGCGTGTGTTAGTAAATAAATAAGATTTTGTTGTTAATGTGACAGTCAAGTGATTGTAGGCAACGTAGTAAGCATGGATGCTGTACATATGAAAGTTACGAGACTCATGACAAGCCGGTGTAACGTTATTTTTTTTTCACATCATGTAGCACACCAACACTTTGATGTCAAAAAGTTGTTAATAGTAAATAGGCTACTAAAGACCATATGAAACGTTGTGCCGTATTCCTTACATAGCTAACAGTGTTACTCTATTTTACAGGGGTGGAGGAGTTTCAGGAA